CTCCCCCTTCCGATGACCGTTGCGGTCCTGCATAGCGCGTATGGGGAGGTTCCACTTTCGTGGACTTCGCCATGCTCCCCTATTGGACCAACGGTCCGTTCTCGGTTACCCACTTGATAGGTTCCTTGAACGACCGTTTTGGTGTCTTGGAGGAAATGGCCTCCTCCTTGAATAAAGGAATGCTCTGCTTCCCGACCAACACCCGGTCGTTCGCAAAGTCCAGTACAATACCGTACTTACGACAGAATACTGTCCCCAATATTGCGTCGTACTTGTCGATATCGACGACATCGAAATAATGTGTATTACGCACTGAGTTCAGTGCGATTTCGGCTTGCGCCCCGAAATTGATCTTCGTACGACTACCCTTAGTCCCCAGCTGGAGGCCTACTGGCTCCTGCAGGTCAATCCTGCCCGCCTTGCACAGATACGCAAACTCCGGAGTAATGGAGTCGGTAGTGCAGCCCGAGTCAAATAGCACTAATGCTTTAATACCGTTGATCGGTATCTCCGCACATAGCGTGCGTTGAGCTTCGTGTACTCGTTGGGGTTGAGCCGCCGGGTCCTCAATCTTGCGGACTTTTGCGTCATAGATCCATGCGTGACGCAGACCGCGTTCATTGGCAATAGCCATGCTGTGGATCCTTGGCTCATTTGCCGATCCTTCTGAGGCGATTGCCTCAACTCGCATGCTTGCCATATACACGGCGTCGTCGTGTTCGAAATCTTCCCATTCCGACTGGATTCGTTCGTCCGCGGATTCGTATTGCGATCCTACGAATTCGAATTCGGACTGAGGGAGGTCCTGGACCGTTTCGGCCTCTGGATCCATTCCCTGGGTGTCCTCCAGAGTGCCTGCGTCATCGGCCAGGTCGAACTCGACCGTCTGTGTCTCGATGGGTGCGTCCGGTTGTTCATTGTCCGAAGTGTCGTCCACTACCCGTTGCGCGAACATGCGCTGACCAGGAGTGGTCTTCTTGCCATGGTTGGGGCAAGCAGGGTCTGATGCGAAATGCCCGATTTGCCCGCACGAGAAGCACTGCGATGCTGCCTTGGTGGCTGCAGGCTTTGGGGCGGGACGAGATACCTGCCCGGGAGTGGGTCTTGGTCGATCGGTGCGACCTGGAGCCGTACGAGGCGGACCCTGTCGCCTTATGGTGGACGAATTCGTCCTAGGCGAGGGCTCCGCCGCGGGAGGTCTCCGTGGCTGGGAGTTGGTCGAACGGTTGGTGCGATGGTCGTTCGACGACGAGGGATTGTTGGTTCCTGGGGTGGTGTCGCGGATGCGACGGCGTTGTTGTATCGCCCGGGAACTCTGCTCGATCTCGAGGGCAGCCTGATAAAGCTGAGATAAACTATTATATTTAACGGAGAGGCCGTTAAGTACAGTGAGAGTATTCTCATAGCTGACGGGCAACGTCTCGATAAACTTGCAACGTATCTGAAAGGGAGAGGGCTTCTCCCACATCTTCTCGGTGATGTACAGTAAGCGTTCGTACAACGCGGCGACACCGCCCTTATTGGGCTCGAATCTCAGGTTATCATACTCCTGAGAAGCTTGGAGATGATTATCTCGGTGGATGAAACGTCGGAATAAACCGACTATGGCTTCCTCGAACAACCACTCCCGACGTTCACGGGAAGGAGATTGTACCGTATTGTACAGCCAAGTGGCCGCGTCGTCGGCCAAGCAGTCGCCTAGTATTTGTAGACGATCACGGTCCATGGACGGGCCAGTTATCCGAAGTGTACGGAAAAATTCGAGGAGGTTATGAAACCAAATCTCGAAGGCGTCGAGATCATCCTTGCCCGCATACGGCTTTGGGAGGGTCATCTTCGTGACCTTTAAATAAGCCGGCGGGCTGGAGGTAGGTTCCTCTCCGACCATTTCGTCAATCATCCCAAGAAGCCGTTGGACTTCACGGGTGTCGCGAGGTCCGTAGCTGGGACCGGTGTACGCCAGCTCCTCGGACCGGTTTAGGCCCTGCTCAGGGACAACTGGAAGTCCGGGGTGTACAGAGACACCAGGGGCCATGGACCGACGCGGTCGCAGTGCGAACTGTTGGGGTATCGCAGTAGACGTGGCAGGTCTATGATCTCTACGAGGAACCTGCGACGCCGATTCGTACTGATCCCAGTCCGGAGGTGCGGTGATGTTCGACAGTTCGAACTGTCCGAAAGCTACGCTTCGTCGGTGTTGCTCTGCACGAATGGGTGCGGGACCTCCGGGAGCGGGGGATACGATGCGGGAAGGACCCGCTGTGGGACCGACTTGACCAAGTCCAGCCCGGCGTAGTCGTTCCACACGATCATACTCCATTTGTTGTCGGCGCACCTCACTGGGTGTTGGACTCGGGGGGCCAGCCAGGTGGGCCTCCACCTGAGTGGCGTCAATAACGTCCTCGACGTTGTTTCCGGGACCCACTGTATGGTCCGCCCCTTGTTGGGCCATTTCTCTCATTTCTCGCTCGAAAGCAGCGAGCTGGTCATTGAGTTCGGCCTCCGCGAGCACGACTTGCTCTCTCAACGCCTTATAGTGTTCCGACGAGTCGCGCAGGAATCCCATGATTCGTAACGCGGGCGCGGGCTGAATCGTCTCTCGCCGCTGCGAGTTCTGCCTAATATCGGCCCATGTATCACCGATCTGCTCGAGATCCTCAGTAAGATTACTGGTGGATCCAGGACGCGGAGCGTCCGTAGTGGGGGCCCTGGGAGGCTCGGCATGTTGGGGAATGCCCCCTGGGGCCGAGCGTACAGACCCAGTGCGCGACGGTGCGCGCGGAGCCTCGGGTTCCAGCGTATTACGTCGTGGCGAATTCGCAGGAGCTGCCTGCGGCGCTGAGGGTGGATTGGGCACGAAACTTCGTGCGGGATCGCCCCGGGGAGATGGGGGTTGGCCCGAAGGCCCAGGAGCCGCGGTTGGCGGCGGGTTTGCGTCGCCCGACGTGACAGGTTGCGAAGAACCTGGTTGGTTGCCAGGGGCTCGCTCAGGGCGGCTGGAAGTTCCAGAAGGCTGCGTGGGGTCCATATCAGGACGCTGTCGTAAGGCGTCCGAGTTCTGATGACGTGGTGACGTCGAGCTCTACTGATGCTTTGAACGAATGTTCGTTCTCGCGGCTAGAGTAAAAAAGTGTAAGTGTACGTGACCTCTACCGGTCCCCGGTATCCCGCAAGTACTCTGGACCGGGCTGTATTGCTCGGCGTACTCGTAGGATGGTGGGGTTGGTAGAAGTCAACCCCACCAGACGCCCAAGGCCCGAACCTTGGGGCGTCGTACGCTTACGTAAAATACATGACGTAGCACATCTAATCTAAGGGCGCCTATGCGCCCTGGGTCTCCGAGGTTCTCGGAGACATCGGTCTCCTTTGCTGATGACGGTTATTCGTCCTCCGCGCACGACCTAGCAAGGTCTGGTTATGATAGAACCGACGGGTTCTTACATTACGTCAGCAACGTGCACGATCCTTAGCCGCTCGCGCGAATGGCTCGTCTCGCTCTCTCTCTTGCACTCGACCGTAGTAAACGCTCTCGCCCACTGACTCTCCTATCGTGCTCTCAAAATTCTGGGCATATAGATGATCAGAGAACTGGAGTGGGGATATAGAATTGCAGTACAGGAGACAAGACTTGAAAATTTCTACATTCGAAACGCAAATACATCCGACGGCGGCGACGCAGTGCCATCCGAGTGCCATCCTCCCGCCGTCGCTTCAACACGAACACGGTATTCCTTTGGTGTGCCTGGAAGGTCTCGTTATTGCACAGTCGTGAGTGAGAAATATATGGTACTGACCAGTCAGGATGCGTGGGATGGTCCCAACATAAGACACCGCTTGCTACATGTCTTTCGTCTTGATCGACTGGGGTGTGGTGCGGAAGTGGTCGAGGAGGAGCCCGAATGTGTGACGGTTGGTGTTAACGGAGTTCTGTCCATGGATGTAGCCATTGAGGGTAGGAAGGATATCATGACCATCGCGTTCGAAGGCTATGATATAGTGGATCATCTCGTAGTTCACCGATTTGGTGTAACCGTGCTTCGAGATAGTGCCAGTGAGGCCCGTGTTGTCAATCACGTACGAGACAGCTGCCGGCATGGCGCGGTTCCGCTCGAAAAACTTGTCCGCCATGTTGGGCAGACCAAGCCTCATGAGCCTAAGACCTTCAAGGACGCGGGGGTCGCGATCCGAGACGGCCATCTCAGTCTAAATCCAGCACGAGTCCTTAGACCGGGAACGACTGACGTTTAGAAGATGGAATGAACGTACCAATAGGTAGCGATGGGGAGCGGCAGAAGCGTCGTGCAGATACGGGAGAGTGCGAGGGAGTGCGAAGGGTTCGTCTCTCGAGCTGCCCCTGTGAAGACGCGGGCGCGGCGGGTTTTATAGAAGTCGGCCCTCATCGATAAGCGGAGTGTAGGAAGGCAGGGTGCTCACAAAAAACGATGCGCCCATTTGCCAGGTTTGTCGCCCGTGCGAATGAATACCACTCTGACTCGCGCTATCGTATCCGAAAGGAGCTGGCCTCTGCCGGAAGCTATGGGTCAGACATGCTCGAAATGTGTTAGCGGCGCACATCCACTCGGTGGCAATATAGGCTCACCCGATCACTTCCGAAAGCTTGTGTGGCCTCGTCGTATGTCGAGGCCTTTCGTTCTTCACCAAGAGCCCGAGATTGAGAACGCTGAGTTAGAGTTTGCGCGCGAGCTGGTTTCGGCAAAGCACATCAACATAGGACACGCACGGCGTCGGCTCCATGGAACGCGTCGGGAAAAAAAAACTCACATCGGCGTGCACCGCGCTGACCTCCCACAGTACAGCGCCTGTGGCGGCGAGATTCAAGAATGCGCCCAGAAGTCTCTGGAAGCTCTATTTTTACATAAACCGTTAGTTCTGAGCATTACCCAAATAAACCAGTGTTCGCAGCAGCTGCATACATTCGAGCTAGGCTCGCACGCCCGTTTTGTTTATCACTGACGGCCCGAGGTCGTGTCCCCTCGTTACGGTCCCATATTACCCAATCATTAGTCCAACTGCACGTCAAACACAGCGGGAGCATTCTGGATCTGACCCGATGCACTAGAGAACGAGCCATACCCTGAGAGCCGCACGCATCGCCGGACGGAGGCGGCGGGGCATACCGGCACAGCCCTCGCACCGCCCACTCTCGATGAAGCGTGGAGCGTACTTCTGTGCAATCCGGCGTCGTGGTATCCCCTGAAAGCGTGATTGCTCGCTGGAGTTGCCTAGACTCATCAAAGATGATGACGTTCATCCGAGTACCACGATGACCTCGCGTGTGGTCCGGACTGCGTCCATCTGAGCACATGGCCTGTTTGTCCATTAGCACCCGCAATTTCACAATATCTATGCCACGTCACGAACCGAACTATCTTCAACGCAACGCCTATATGGAGAGTGACACTGCTTGATGCGTACGCCGGAGCCTAGAATGAATACGGGCGGCAGAGCTCAGATATACACTCCTGTATCCTGCGCTCAGGCGCATCGCTCATTTTCCTCAACATACGCACCGTCAAGCGTCGGACGTCCTTGATCCAGGACGTGTCTGATAGAAGCCAGGTACCTGTGCGCGGGAAGTGTGACTGAGCGGACTACAAGTTGACTCAATCACGGCCCGTACCTGTATTAGGAGAGGCGTGCTAAGGGTCCTGCTTGACGACCAGTGCTAACCCGACACGTAGTCCCGCAGATCCGCAGCTGAGCGTGCAAGTGACAAGCTGGAGGGAAATCTACGCCTCGAGGACGTCGAGCGGGAGCGGTGAAGGTGCGCTGTGTGATCGCACCTGCCCGTTCCGGAAGGACCTGTTTGTCGGGGTTTTGATTTGTGGGCTTCTCTCGGCTGATCCGGACCCGCTCGCGCTTGTGCTTGGTCGCATGCTTGATGGAGGAGCCGTATCTCCCGGCCGACTTGTCTGATGGAATGGGTATCCTGATACACGACCCTGCCCCACCCCACCACGTTCCCGCAGCCGCTCCTCGCGACGATCTCTGGCCAGGTGGAGTTGCGGATTTGATGCGGATGGCTTGAATGGCGGCCGTGCTCGGGCTCTATACCACTGTTTCGGCGGTGCCCAGCAGGACCCAGTCTGCGGACGACAGCTCCGACAGCATGAGCCCCATGGGGACCCACTCCGCCGAGGAGCGTGGCCTACGGAACACGGACACGCCGCAAGTTCCGTGAGTGGTTTAGACGTTTCCCGAGTGCAGACACATACCTGATCCATGAAAGCTAGGCGGGCGACTCGTACACCGGTCGCATAATCAGTCTTGGATGTCGATGTGGCACAAGTAAACACAACACGTCGAATGCCCTCCGGCTCGTCAGTCTGACGTACGAGTCGACGCCGGTAAGATACGTGACAGAGCGTCAATGACCCAGCAATACCCTTCCGTCGCGTACACCGCCCAACGAAGGATCACCGCCACCCTGAGCGCCGTACGTGCCGTTGGACGACAGTGGCATACGCCGGTGCAGCCCCGCTCGTTCCCTATCAACCATTGAATATATTTCTGAGCTAACCAGTGCGGTGGACGATCTTCCTGGCCGTATTGAGTCTGTGTAATATTGACTGTAAGACGTCGGGGAAAGGAGATGCGGACAGTCCACAGCATACCTCGACGAGCCACTCGAGCGCGCGTCCTGCGCAGTGCACGTCGCAAGAGTAAGGGTCGAAGTGCGTCAATCCATTGGGGGGCGGTAACTGGGTCTCCGGGAGCGTGATCACACGCTGCACGCCGGGTCCGAGTGCGAATTGCTTCGCTAAGTCAAAGTCTATGATGTACAGTCTCTTGAGGCCTGCCTCTTTGTGATGATCCATATGCCAGTGAGCTGCCGTGAGCACGTTATCGGGGCACAGATCCTATACAGGTTTGCCTCAGTAAAATATGACGGGCGAAGTGGCGGCGAGAAGGTTCGTACCATATGAACGATGTGTAGGCTGTGCAGGTACTCCACTCCCTGTAGATCTGCTAAGATGCTGTGGTGAAATCAATCCAATTCACAATGATTCACATACCTCGATGAATCGAATGATCATATCCACGAGCGTGTGCGGGTTCCTCTGTTTGCGATGGATAATGTATGTGTCGAAGAGCATCGGCATGATCAGTATGGGATGGTCGTCGTAATTGATCTCGGCAGGGATAGTGTGATTGTTCGGACGCCAACGTTCGCGCAGCAGCCGTTCGTAGATGGCGAGCTCCTCTCCATCTGGGTTGAGGATCTTGACAACCCAAGCTGGCTGTTCCACCCTAGTAGCGAACACGACACCCTGTAGCGCCAATGTCAGCTAGTATGCCGCGAGGATAGACAAAAATTGTATACGGGTTTCAAGGCTGTACGCAGATCTATCCCTCGTCGTAGAATTTCTGGGTGGCGCAATATGCAATCTGCAACGCCACCGGGATCGAGCTGGCCATTAGGCCCGTACACATACCAGGGATAACCAGAGTTGTTGGAAGACATGCGTGGTAAAAAGGGGACAATTCGTGAGATACACTGAGGGAAAACGCGGGCGACCACCTTCTGGCTGTGTAGTAGCAGGCTGTCGGGGAGGAGGAGGGCGAGAGAGGATTTCGGCAGTCGAAGTGCCACGGTCAAAATTGATCAGGCTCCTACTCACCCGTCTGCTTCGAGGGAGGGGGCTATCTCAGGTAGCGTAGACATGTTAAATCCGACATACCCACACGAGCGCTTACCGTACAAATCCATCACGTGCACTTCCTTCCAACCTTATTTCCCCCTCCCTCTCAGCAGCGGCTGGCACCAAACACGAGTAAATAACGGGGCTCAGAGACGTAGCGCCCGAATTCGATCCCATTTGGTGTGCCATCAACTCAGGGCGCTTCCGAATTCTCGAAATTGTCGTTCTCGCGCACCATCGCGCGAGGTCGCGCGTCGTGTACACCGCTCGCGCTGCGGGCTCGCGGCTCGCGTTCCCCTAGTTCGCCAGATGTATCCCCTTTATCATGGATATAGGTATGATATACACCAGCATATACTTGTGCTACAGTTCCCTGGACAGCGTCGGCCTAAGCAGCCATCACAACGTCGTTAAACAGTCTCTGAACTATTTTGTAGGGATGTGGCACCGGGAGCCACTAAGTCATCTCCAAAAGCCGTCGCATATTTTGGAGAATATATCTACATAAATACATAGTGTGATGTAGCTGTGATGATCCGCGCGCGTGGCCTCACAGTGTCCCCTTGAGCGCGGCGCGGTCGTGTGAGTAATAGGAACTCATGTGCATACTGCCATTGTGCGCGTCGGGAAAGTGGCTCCTCGTGCGCTCTCAAATGTTGTGCGCAGTAATTAGGGTACCTAACGGAGTGATTTATGAGATTTTCTGTGGCCGTGCAGAGGTTCGGAATAGCTCAATCCTTACATTGAAGCGAGAGGGGGGTAATACCACTGACGGCTGGTTTCGACTCCCCCAAAACGAGAAATCACGGGGCACTCCACTCAGACGCTTTCCCCAAGCGTATGCAATTGTGCGCGGGAGGAATACAAGCAAACTAGGGAAGGGCGAGGGCAGGACGAGCCGCGAGCCCGCAGCGCGAGCGGTGTACACGACGCGCGACCTCGCGCGATGGTGCGCGAGAACGACAATTTCGAGAATTCGGAAGCGCCCTGAGTTGATGGCACACCAAATGGGATCGAATTCGGGCGCTACGTCTCTGAGCCCCGTTATTTACTCGTGTTTGGTGCCAGCCGCTGCTGAGAGGGAGGGGGAAATAAGGTTGGAAGGAAGTGCACGTGATGGATTTGTACGGTAAGCGCTCGTGTGGGTATGTCGGATTTAACATGTCTACGCTACCTGAGATAGCCCCCTCCCTCGAAGCAGACGGGTGAGTAGGAGCCTGGAAATTGATCGCTCTGAAGCGCGCGAGGAACGAGCACGCGTCACGAGCGGAGTCTATGCGGGAGGGACGACGGGCGCCTCTCTCCGTGATCTCCTCCTCTGCGCCCGTCGCCCTCTGCTCCAGGACCCCGGCCAATCCACCAAGAACTCACATCCGGTTGGAGGCCCATTTGGGCCGTTTTCGGGGGTGCCAAATCCGGTGGTTTTCGGGGATTTTCACATAAGTTGCGGCCGGCTACGCCGGATTTGGGGGTAAAATGTGTCGCGGAGCTAGACTCGACGCGACCAGGCAACGCCTACAACAAAGAAACTAATACGATCTAACCCAAGGGCGGCGAGCGCGAAGGCTTGCTAACGCCGAGCGTAGACTTTCAAGTCAAATCTAGCCCAAGGACCAAGTTAATATTATGCTGACTAAGAGAATACAAAGGACGGCTTACCTAGCCCAAGGACCAAGAGGTCAAGATGAGGGCTAGGGTCGCTACAGGTGGGGTTTATATACTGAGTCAGGGGAGCCAAACATGTACAAACGTAAAGGTGGTCTGTGCGCACATTAGTGCCAGTCTGCAGGTGGGGGTCAGGTGACTGGTCACATGCTTCTAACTACTGGTTCTAAGTCTAAGTGTCGTACAAATGGCCGTAGAAAATAAGGAAAAATGCGGAAAAATATAGGGGTCTCGTCGTCTCCACGACATTACCCCCTCCTATTGTCCATCGTCCCTGATGGAC